CCCACTGTTGAATACGAATTAAATGACCCTAAACTCAACATCTTTAATTAAAAAGTTTTGGCTGTTAACAAGCCCTAACAAAACGATTGATCGTTTTTGTGATGTAAAATAAGTGGAGAACAGTAGCATAGCACACGATACAAGTATTATTTATCTAATAACAAATTATCTTCTTCTACATTTATTTTTTTTGGATAAAAATTGATACCCTATTTTTTAAACTTTTTTGAGCATTTTTCACTGCGCAGAACGATCTAGTAAAGTAATTTTAAAAAATCATTGCATTGTTTTTGACGTACAAAAATAAAACATGCGTGACGAAAAGCTCAATAAAAAGGTCGAACATTTTTTGTTAACCTGACTTAAGCATTTTTTCTAAATGCTTGATTATATAATACAATTTTGCTTGTAATATATTTTCCTATCGGAGAACGGACTTTTTAAAGTTAGCTAATCCCTTTAAATACCAGCCGTACATTAAATTGCTGCAAACTGCATGGATAAAGGTAAAAATAAAAAAACCGGGAAATGTATAGTAAATATCTCTTACTTGACATATTGTAATTAACGTCGACCTAGGATGTCGATGTCCTTTCTAGTTTTTAACCCTATCGGCGACAATGCTATAATCTAAAATAAAATCGAATTAGACGTATTTCGATTCAGTGATTTAATTACTGTCGGTATGTAATATTAAATTAAATGTCCTTATCTCTTGCACCATGTTTATATAACCAACTTAAATCTAATTTGCCTTTAAGATACCACTCTTACCCCATAGTATTAAAGAATATCTGGAGAAACGTCTCGAGGTTTTAATGTGTCGTCCGTGACGTGCCGACCGAGTGGTTTTTGGGATATGTGCGTCAAAAAAGACCATGCTCGCCAGCGGCAAATGATATAGATACACGTTATTGAATTAAACCCTCGCAGGATACGGCAAAGAAAACCGTGCCTGCACAGTATCTGTGGCAGTTTTATTAGGGAAATGCCAAACACGTAACCGATTCGCCATTTTTATGTCAGTTTACGTATACAGCCATTTTATCAGCTTACTACCCTCACGTTTATTCGCTTATTTCAATTGCCAATCGCGATTATTAGTCAACATTTTCGGTTAGGTTGTTCAAAGTTCAACTCAGCGCGAATGTTACGTTAGTTTCTGTCAACAGGGCTTAGATACAGCGCTTGAAATATGTACATATTATTTTCATTATAATATATTTTATGCTTTTGACGGAAATTATTGATCGCTAATTTTAATTAAAAAATATTATTTTATAATTACTTCTATAAAACTCTCTATAGACTGAAAAATCAATTGTATTTTCAATAACTACACGTTATCCGTTCTATGTAAGTATTAATTTATTACGTCCTCTAAATAAGCAGAGCTTGTGAATCGTTGTGTAATACCACCTCTGGTTTATTATTTTTTTCAATGTATGCAAGAGACACAAATTCAATTCCTCTAATAAGTTCGGCCTCTTATCTATAAGAATTACATCTCATAATGATACCTGCTATTTGGTTAACATTTAAAATATATAATTCACTTTAAATTTAAATTAAGGTAAATTTATGGCGATGAAAAAATACAAAACTGTGGTTTTTAAATAAAATCTTAACATCATATTTATCCATAACTGATTACTTTACGCTAAGAATTTTTAGTTCTTTGATGTCGCAAAATGATATGCATTATAAATATTAGGTCTAATACCTAGATGTCGCAAAATTGTATTTTGTGTTAGCTACTGTGGTCTAAAAAGAGTAATCTCATTTAGGCTTAAAATCGACTTGTGTACTTTCGTCCCCAACTGTTAAAGTTCAGCAATTTTTCATATGATTTTAATTAGAAAAAATTAATAACAGATGTATAAGTTATGAATAATGAAATGAATATATAATAATTTAAACAACAATTATTGCATTTTTATTTTAAAATAAGTTTTATTTACTTTAGCAACCACAGTATTCAAACAACTAAAACGTTCTGTTTGTTTTTAAAGGAATACAAAATAAAGTATGCTCAATTCGAAGAAAAATGGTTAGGTTTCACGTTTCTACTCACATCATTCAATAAGTTATGTGGAATTGAAACAGCACGGCCCAATGACGTCATGTGGCTATTCTAAATGTCTTAAGATAACCTAAAATAATAATTTTTTTTTTCATTTGATTTTCATTAAAAAAATTTTTATAGTTCTGCAATTAGAAAAAAATGTATTATTTATGGAGATTTTAAGACATTTTAAATAACCACGTGAAGTCATTGTGCCGGGCTGCTTTTTTCAGTACTAAATAACTCAATATGTGAGTAGAAACCTGAAACCTATACCATTTTTCTTAGAAGTTAGAACTGAACATTCTGCAAAACTAAAATAACAATTATTAGCTTTTTTTGTGATCTGTGCTCTTTTAACTAGTATTATACGGCATATGGATGTAATAGTTTCCAGAACTAATTATAATTATAAAATTATAATAATTATTTATTAATATTTCTCAAAAGCCTATGAAAAAAGAATAGTAAAATTTTGCGATTTCATAGGGTCAAATGTTCACTATACTTAGTTTAATATTTATGTGTCGACCCTGATATCTCGCCGTAAATTACATGACCGTGTTAGTTCACAAGCTTGTTATTAAGTTAATACAATAATCAACAAATAAATAATAATATTTAACGCGTCATGATAAATTAATGAAATACTTTGTGTAGAAACTCTAGATTTCTTGTGGCCAAATAACAACGAAGGAATAAATATTAACAATACAAGTTTGAAATTGCGTACTGTTATACATGTCGATGATGTGAACAGTAATTCGCATTTTTTATCATTTGCAATGAAGACTTGCGGAGTAAGTAAAAAAAAAAAAAGGGTAAAGTTATTAAAACACCGGTAAGATAGGAATTCAATTTCGTATGCATGGCGTGTTTCATTCGTCGTTTTGGTTTATTATTTAGTCATACATGTATATATACCGCAACAGTTAAATTACGGAATTGGCGAGTGGGGGGGGGGGGGGGCTAGTAAAATAATAATAATTTTGAATCAAGATGATTGTACTGCGTTCCAAGTATTTCTCGATGATGTTTGCTCGATGCATTTCTAACTAGATTACTGTGGTGAGTGCAATCGCGCGTTGCGCATTATCGTTCATTAGGCGCGACTACGTGCGGTGTAACCGCAACAACTGCCATTCTAAATAAGCAAAAACCGAGAAACCGCTAGGCTGGTCTTATTGCAAAGGTCGGCCGTCAAGTAAATTTCCATTAAGTTCAATTCAACTGTCTGCTCGCGTTAATAAGTTAAGTGCAAACAAAAGCTACTAGGTATATGGGTTTATGCATATTTCGCCAATGCAGTGTTTCGGCGAGCGCGCGCACGCCACCGCAGACCCCGGCCCAGTGATTTCCAGACAAATGCGTCGGCATAAATCTCTTGTTAAACTTTCAAAAGTTGTTTTTTTCACGCACCCAGGGAGAAAAGTTCCGACGTTTTTTTTTTATCGTCCGAGGAGTTTGATAGGTCTCAATCTGCATTCGCTAACTGCTCTTGGGACGACTGCGCTGACAGATGATAGGAAAATGATAAATTTCCAGATAAAGTTAAAGCGCTATTTTTTTCTTGCCGCAAAAGTCCACTCGAAAGATTCATGTGTTTTTAAACCTACTCGTGACGAAACTGATGGAAGGAAATGTTTTTATTGTATTTCAATGTTTTCTTTTAGTATATAGATATACATTAGTAATAATATAGACTCGGTATTGAACCAGGGTGTTGTTAAATTCCGTTATAAACAAAAGTCATTTGATAAAAAACGTGCATGTAATTGAGGCCCTACCGCAACATTAAGTATTGACTGATAATATTGTTACTTTGGAACCAAGACTAAACAAATTCGTGGGTGCTAAACCCTGCTATCAAGCTTGTACAAGCTCCACCCACTTGGCCATATTAAACGTATGTGATTTCACCGATTCATAATACATGTTATATAATTATGGTTATTATTTTGTATTTACTCTAAACCGTAAGTCGATGAACTTCTATTGTTTTTACTTATACTTTTCTTGTAGCAACCCTTTCACGATTTGCCTGGGTGTTAAAAGTTTATAATAAATGAAAAGAAAACAATAGACGTGTAGAAAAAGTAAACAAAACGTCACATTGACGTAAAGAGTGTACACAAGTCGTGTGTGAATAGGTATTATGTATTAGGTTACTTTCTTTTGTTTGTGTTGTTTTGCGGTCATCGTCTTGACACCTCAGTTATTCATTAGAAGTCTAATAAATGTGTATAGTTGTGTAAGTTGTCTGCACATTGTAACCACATCTGCACATGTGTCGGTTTCAAATTTAAGCCAATTCAAATTGCATTCATTGTAATGCGATATTATTGTTGCGACATGAGACAAAACAATTTGTACACAGACAGGGCTTACAAAATCACTATTAGCTTATATTTGAAATATACCTACTTACTAAACAATTATGAACAATTTGTCACATTTCAACATTATTTTAAGTAATACATTAGCCTCGTATAAATAGCCATTATAATTAAAAAGCCTTAATGGAAATTATTAATGAAAACCTAATAATAAAACATAATGTTTTTTGCTTATAAATACATCAAAATTAAGGCGGTCCCATAAATACTGGATTTAGTATTAACTTGTGAGTGTTATATCTAGGCTACAAAAATGTTTGCAACAAAATTCTATATAGTATTTTAACGGACTAGCAACATTCTTACACGCTCCCTTTTACAACTCACGTAAAATCTCTTTGTACTTACGCACTAATAAATGTGAACTCTTTCTTACCGAGCAAACCACCTCTGTAGGTACTGTACGTTAATGTACTTGACTAATTGAAGCCAAATGGCAAATATACCGGCAACTATACCTACTCTATTTTAACTTAACTTCCTAATGGACAGCAATGTAAATGTATTAACCAACATTTTTGAATTTCTCGTTTTTTCAGAGTCCAGAAGACCTTGGTTTCCAGAACCGGTGCCAAACGTCACAGTGATAGCAGGAAAAGACGCTTTACTCACTTGCGTTGTTCAGGATCTTCACAATTTCAAGGTAAAATTATGTACATCTAATTCAAAACATATTATTGGGATATGCGCGAGGTCAGAGATACATAGTGCAACGATTTTAAATAAAAAACAAAATTTACAATATTATCTATTTAATACTTAAATAGTAATAAAACAGCGATGATTGAAAATAAGCAATCTGATAAAATACTAGCGAATAATGTAAAATAAACATTATACTAAATTAAAAAAGTGAATTCTTCAAAAAATGTAAAGCAGTAATATTATTTTACATTTTAAAAATTCATAGCGAAGTCCTATATCAAATTACAGCTGTGTACCTATTTTTTAAATTAATATTTTTTAGACATTTTTACTGATTGATTTTTTAAACACTGTATAGTGACATTATTTTATGAGAACAGTAATTATAAAACTTAGAAATCAACTAAAATAAATAATAATGTTACACTATTATAATAATAATACACTATGTTTAGGTAAAACTCAATTTTGTTATGTAACAGAGCTATAGTGCCGTTTTACATTGTCGCCCCATAGTTATGATTTATGATTTCATTCATGATTCGTGAACTTTGAATTATCGCTGTTTGAAAGCACGGTAGTTGTTATATAGTTATGTTGTATATGTAATGCACACTATAATATGTACATAAAGTTTTCCGAGACCATAGGTACAACTATTTAATAATAAGATAATGGAGTTTTCATTGTTCAAGAGGTAAAATAATAATTTAATTTATGTACATAAAAATATTATATAACCGCATGTACACTTAAACAAAGATATTAAAAAAAACTCCTACTATTGATCACAATGTTATTTATTAGCAGTGGCATACTACAAACATTAAACATACCTAGTAGATTATAACGATGGTTAAAGGGATGTTTATAATAAAAGTGATATAAAACAATAATTGGCAATTATAACCGTTGGCTTTACAATTAGGTATGCGTAACAATTTATTTTTTGTTTATTTATTATCAATTTGCCAACAATTAATACCAGAGCTACCCGTGACAATTTTACTGTTTTAAAATAACGTATAAGCAATTGCAATAAGTTATGTACATTGTGTTAGATACTTGATAGTCTGAAAGTTGTTTTCAATGTTCATTTTAAAATGGTCTAAATTTGTCTAATGTTACCTAATTATAAAAAAACAATGACCGCGACAAGCAAAATATATAAAGCCGTTGCATACACTAAGAACTTTTAACAAGCGGCAATAGCTGGTACTGGTATGGCATGTTTTATGACGACGTTCGATGCATATAAGCTGATAAATACGACGTGACTTGGGTGCATAAATTATTAATCCTTTTGGGTGGATTCACGCTAACTAAGCTGGTTGTTCTCCAACTAAACGCCAATAAAAATATAGCGATGTCTCTATTTTCTTAGTTTGTATCTAGCTATACAAAAAAAAAAGTAGTTTAGCCACTTTATCTCAAAAATACAGAAGGCAATCAGCTGTTATCACAAAGAAGAAACCCTGATAAATTAAGTATAAAAAATCATAACTTATTAACTGTACTATAGTTATACTCGATACAAATCAGCAAATCTATATGGTAAATTGAATATAGCAATTATATATATTCATGTCCTATACTCTTATAACTTAGCATATACCTATGCTCTCGGAAAACTGTACGTACATATATAACATACTATGTAGCCTTTTATGTATAAAATATAGGCCAGTCAATAAGGTTAAAATGTTGGCAAATAGCCTAAACAATTCCTTACCAATATTATTTTTTTCAAAAGCCTTATTGTTAAAGTATACTTTAAAATACAAAAAGTCTCCGTCGATCGGACTGGAGCTTTTTTTTATAAGCTTTGGTAAATTTTAAGCTTTTGTCAATGACTTAAAAATATTGCGAATATTAAGAAAAGTTGCAAATAAAACATTTTCTGTTAATAAGTTTTCTTATACTTTTCTATTTAAGTTTTCCAAAAAAATAAATTTATGAGTTAATAGAGATTTGTTTATTAAAATTATAATTTACTTGAGGTACGTTTTGTTGAAGTAGACAGATGAAAAATTATCCACAGCGCAACAGCATTTTATAAATATCTAAAGCATCATAAAAAAATTGTTATTTATCAATTTAAGTTTATAGTTTATACGTGTAACACCGTATAGTGTATACAGTATTATTATACCTATTATGATTTTTTTGTATCAGGTGTAAATAATTTCTTAGATTTTGTTTTGAAAAATATTATATTTTTCTTCGCCAAAGCAGCAACTTTTGCAGTTTTAAAAAGTTGGACATAGAAAGCAATAAAATAAATCATTTTTAGAGATCACAAAATCTGTATTCTGTACTCAGAAAACAACGTGTTAACTTTTTATACATAAAACATTTTGGGTCTAATTTTGTTGAATTTCACTCATTTCTAAATGCATATCAGTCAATGTTTTTTATTTATTTTATCTATGTTATAAATAGAAAAAAAGTAGTTGACATAGTACTTTTTTTAACGGGTTTGGGTTCTCAAATTGAAACATCTAATAAACAATACATTGTTTAAAAGTTATACTGTACACACTTTGAACTAAATCCACTTAGTATACATAATTATAAATTAATTTTAATTTTATAGTTACTAATTAGAAACATGTATTTTTATGTTTTGGTTGTAATGATTTATGATACATTTTCTTTGTTAGTTTCCATAATTAAAAAACTTTTCAAGCCTCTTTTAACCGTTTATCGGAGTAAAAACATTAATCATATATTGGGAGTTAGCCAAATATCTTTTTACAAGTCCTGATAAAAAAACAAAGAGTACGAACATTTGTAATGCCTCAGATAGGTTTATTTTAAAAATAATGTTATCACCAAGTTTTTAAAACTTTCAATTATGATTGCCGGTCGAGGTGGTTGTAAACATAACCGTCTAATTTACATACAAATTAAATCATATTCCATAAGAATGTGAATTTGAATATTTTGTATGGTTAAATCTGTTTTTGTAAAGTCACAGAAAATCTGGTATATATATATATATATATATTATATTTTAAACATAAAAATAATTATTTATTTAGATCTTATTATTTAGGAAAATAAAAATTGTGGAATTTTTTTACTACACTTACCAAATAATCTTCATAACTATTTTTTTTTTGTTTACAAAAACTTTTATTTTTTTTCTCAGTTGTACTAGAAACATAATACAAAATTTTGTAGTATTTTTAAAAAAAATTGATTATAATATTATTTTTAGTTTTAATTTTTGCAAAAACACATGTTTAAGACCCTTATTAGGACGTACTCTTTTGTTAACTTATTGTGTTCTCTAATTTATAACACTTAATTACTAGAAGACTATAGTTACCGCGTCGTGTCTTAGAAATATTTTAAATTACAATAACATTTCCTATACATCTACTTAGCTCTAAGCTTTGGGCGTTGTTTTATTTCTGTAGCATACAAATGAATGAATAGTATTAACTACGCTGAAGCAATGGAATGGATTTTTTTTTTATGCAGGGGAGACATAGGAGAAATAGAGCCATTAACTATCGATTGCTCTCGTGAATACCAAACAGTGTGTGTCCGGACAGGTAAGTCACGTAGGTCTCAAAGGGACACTCTCCTGCTGTATTGTTGGTCGTCGACCGATGGTATTCGTCAACAGACGACTTTGTAAAAATGAAAACCTGTCCCCGCCGTCATAAAAAAAAGTTTTACAACCCGTGATTAGATGTTGTTCAAAAAGATGTTTATGTCGCAATCGATTGAAGTTGTTAATGTCTATGCTAAGACCTGTAGTGTAGCGCGGCACGTGTGAGTATGTGTGTGTTTTCGAGCGGTAAGGCGGCTTTTACTAACTGTTAAGTCAGTAAACCGATTAGATTGGGTCTTTCCCGGGCAGACATTCACGGTAGTGCGATTATACTTTTACACAAAACTTTTCCAACGCCGTTTCGATAGCGGAAAAACAATCAGAACTCGAGCGGTCCACTCTACAAGCCTCTGTCTCCGTCGCTTAAAGATGTGATCAGATTTGTCGCTTCTAAATATTTCGCCACCTGCTGTTTTTAAGTAAACCCTATTTATAAAGAGACTATTGTTGTTTGAAAAGGTCTCGACAACAAAGTAAGCAAAAAATAACGTACCGTCGGTTCAGTATACTTGAACGTAATATAATATGTACCTATATAATATTATATATTCAAGATTCGAAACTGGATAATAACTATTATAGTTGTTTAATGTCAGCAAGCGAAAACGCCGAACGCACGTCAAGGTCTATTAGTACAATCACGTTATTTAAAATCGATTCAGCTTCAATGCATTTCGTATAGACTCTACCTATTTACATTTACGGGACCTGTGTAGTTAGATATCTATTATTTTTTAGAAATTTATTTTTCGGGGTTTCCCGGTTTTGGGGGTGAAGGATTTACCCGCCAAAGTACCAATCATATAAAATTCCGGTCATATAGAGGTGCTACACGAGTAAATCGGTCCATAGAAAAAAAAGTTACCGTGTTTACATTATAAAACCAATCCTTCTCAGGTATCGTATAGAAGCTAAAATCAGTGTAAGAACCAAAGTTAAAATATCATAAGAAGTAATACTTCAAAAAAAAAGTTGATCGATCGATTGATTGATCGTTTGTAATTAATTTAGGTTCTCACCGCTGAACACTGCTGTTTAATAAAAAAAAAATCGATAAGGTAACTTACTAAGCAATTAAAATTTTTAATTTCATATTATTTCGGTTGATTAAACTCTATTGGAATTAAATTTATATAGTTTCTAGTGTATATAGGTACTATGTATAATATTAATAATGCATTTTATTTAAAGAATAATATAAAACACCGTAGTATTAATCAAAACACTAAAAAAAAATTTCCATATTTAAAACAAATTCAGTACTCACTCGTAAAACAAATTAACAAAAAAAAATATTAACGTTCGAATGTATTTAATATTTTGTATTTTAAAAAGCCAAGTACATTCTAATCTTTAAATCAATAAAATAAAACATAATAAAAGGGCTTTAACATATATAAATTGTATGTATCATACTATACAACTCTGTAAGGCAACATACTATTGTTAGACTCCTGCTGATCGGATTATAATTAAGTCATCCTATTTAATCTGTCGTTTAGGCTAAACAATTTGTTGCTAAATGATACCGAAAACATAGCTATATTATCGTATATTCTATTTAAATGTTTATTTGTACTTTAAAATTAAGTACCTAATCCATATGAGATAAGCCATACAGAATTCAGACTTAAAGATGTACTTGTAAAACGATTTATCTTGAGTCCTCGATATAGTTTTTTTTATTAAGCCGCAACTCTTATTTACCATTATAGACGTTATAAACGGATCACAGCTAAAGAAAATTATCGATTCGAATGTACATGTTAAAATGTTAATGAATACTGCTTTTGAATTTACTGACAATGTTTATTTTGATATATATATATATATATATTTCTTTTACCCGGCATTTGCATCTTGTTAACTACCTTATAAATTCCGACGGTTTGTGATTTTTTTTTTTTTCTTATACCGTCTACGTGTTCACGTAGTCTAGCTGTTGTTAATCATGAAAATTGTTGTGTCAATTCTCAGAAGAAACGGTGGCGGTCGCGGGACACGGACGGGACGATATCACACTACAGGTTGGTCCCACAGGGCATCCGGCCAGCAGGAGACGCGCTGCATTCAAAGTACCTGGTTATATGACGTGATCGACTGTACCCGTTCAATCCTATTAGTTACCCGACAGGCGCCCGCTCCTCCGCCACCCCACGCCTACCTGTATTTTCGCCCTAAAAGAAAGGTAGCCGCAATCGTAAAAGATTTGAGAATTTTATTGGGTTTCATTCCCCGAGTACACAGAACAGTAGTAAATCAAACATATACGTATATCTATCTATATATATATTTATATATATATATATATATATATATTGTATATTCATTTCGCATAGTAATATAAATATATAGCTGTTCGTATTTTAAGATTATTTTCTCCTTGATTTTGTATTCAAGCAACGGACACTGCTCGCACGCCAAAGGACGCATCGGCAAAAATTGGGTTATAATGTTTCTGTAGTAAGTTGCCACTTACGAATATATATATAATAATATGATAATATATAGATATACGCCCGGATGATGCGGTTGCTTTTACCTGGAATTTCCTCTAGTCAAGAACAAGGCTTATTATCATGAAAGATTACTTAATTGATTGATCACCAACGTATTGCTTATGCGTTACACAACCTTTCACCACATTATAAGCACTAAAGAATATGATACATACGTACATTCATAAGGCGTCAAACCAATATTTTGACTGTAAATGATGTATACATATTATACGACCACGCAGTATAATACATTCATATCGAATATGGTTGACTAACAAAATACACAAGAAGAACGGATTTTTGTAAAAGTTTAAAATCAATACAGCTACTCATAAGAATATATAATGGTGTATTATATAAACCATAATTTTCGCAACGTCTAAATTTAAATTTAAAATAATATTTCTTGATCGACAAATAATAATGTGATAGTTAGATACAAAATTTGTACAAAATTGGTGTCAATAAAATCGCTTACAGAAACTTAATTTTATAAATTAATTTCTTGCATTGTACTATTTCGAGAAAAAATACGTTTACTGATTTTAATTGAAACCGCATATGTTTAAAGGTGGCTTGGGTTCGAGTTAATACTCAGACAATTCTTTCTATACATCACAGAATGGTGACTGAAAACTCGAGAATAACGTTGTCATACAACGATCACCGTACATGGTTTTTACACATACGCAGTGTCCAAGAAACGGATAGAGGCTGGTACATGTGTCAAATCAATACAGAACCAATGACTAGTCAAAAAGGATACCTTCAAGTAGTCGGTACGTTAACTACATTTTATCGATTTAAAAAATTATAATGTACATGAAACTAGTTGTCTTTCTTATATAACTTTCCATATCATAGTAAATATTATGTATAATACTTGTATAATGTAGTACCGCCGAAAATAATCGAAGAAGAATCTAGCGGCGATCTAGTCGTCAAAGAAGGGTCGGATTTACTTTTACAATGCAAAGCTAAGGGATATCCCGAACCCTACATAATGTGGAGGAGAGAAGACGGTCAAAATATAAACTACAACGGTATCACAGGTAGGTTGGAGTTTTTTTCAAAATGAAACAACATAACTTAGTAGACTTCTTTATAACTATTATAAACTGTAACGCATTCGACTAATATTAACGAAATTACTACAGTCGATACAATTATCTTGTGTCAAAAATCATGCACCTAAAAGGTTGTATTTGTTGTATTTAAGTTTTTATCTTATTGTACATTACGCTTGTGTTTCTAGTTAACGTGATTGACGGCGAACAACTGATGATCAGAAAAATCAGTAGACTACACATGGGAGCCTATTTATGTGTAGCATCTAATGGCGTGTCACCAGTCAGAAGCAAACGCATCAACGTCACTGTGCATTGTAAGCAAACTATAGAATACCTTACACAACTTTCTGTACGTTTTAATTATTATGCTACTATTTTCAAGTCCCCCCGATGTTGATGATCTCCAATCAGCTGGAAGGAACACGAAAAGGATTTTACGCTAAATTAGAATGTCACACAGAGGCCAATCCTCCGTCTATTAATTATTGGACAAACGAACGGGGAGACATGATTGTTTCCGGTAGTTAGTAACGATATACTTGTAGTTAAGTAGAAAACATAGTATTTCTGTAGTTCAACGTTTAAATTCTCTTTACCCTTCGATATTAATTACCATTGATATTAAATCATAAACGCTACGTCTTTTACTCTCAATATTTTCCCTAAAATATCTTTTGTTATTAGAAGAACCATTTACTCAAAAATGTATTACACGTTATTGAATTTTGACAGATTATAGATTCACCGACGAAAAAATTAGAACGGGTTATGTATGCAAAATGATTTTACATATATCCAACGTCAGTCACGAAGATTTCAGTAGTTATAGATGTGTGGCGGTGAATGCTCTGGGAGAAACTGATGGAGTTATCAAACTTTATGGTAAACGATATATTAACTAATCAACCACAACCTCACAACCAAGCCCGTCGGCCGTCGACAGGGCCACAGTCCTCCAGCTGAAAAGGGCCCTGACCTATTGACATACATATAAAAAAGACTTAAGTCGTGCATAATACAAACATGTGTTATATTAATGTTAATTTCTACTAAACTAAGCACTATCTACTACACCTAAGTCTTTTGTTGTCATTTGCCCCGAACGCACTTAAGACAGCCCTGTTCACAGCTGTGCACTAGGCGTTTCTAGATAAAATAGTATAATATTACGTCTATAATCACTCGCTATGCTATTATACAGCATATTTATTATACATTAGTATTATACCGATTTTTTGCAACTTTCTAGTAGATTAACAATAACTTTGTGATTTTTTTTACATTAACTATATGTTGGTGTATCAATTTTAAAGTATGTTGACGAGCGTATACAGCGTATAGACGAAAGAATCCACAAATATAAAGAAAGTTGTATTCTCAAACAACGAATGAACGGATTCTATACGATCATGTATTAAAATTGCATAGCCAGAGTGCCGTTTTGTCAAGTCTTGCTGGGTACTCTTGTATTTTAGTATTGGTGGAAAAAATATACAACGATTGTAACATAATTATGATTTATGCTTATAATAAATAATATATCTATAAAAAGTATAACTCTGTTTTATACAGATCTGGTCTATTGTAGATTTGTGTCAAATTTACTAAAATGAGGCGCACAACACATTAGGGCACAAAAAATGTAATTCCGTTTTATTACAGCAAACATTTTAAATTAATATTTCAAAACTAAACTGACCTAAACCTAAAAAATACTATCCACTAAACAACAGGTTTTTTTTTTACTTGGAATTTAAAAAAATGATAATCAGTTTATTCTTGCAATAATGAATTTGTGGACTAAGCTTTACTGGCGCTATGCGCTTCAAATGTTGTCCATTTTACAGTCAGTAACTTTTCTGCTACTAACATCTACTATTGATAAATTTTTAATATTTGTCAGCTAAAAAAATGTAATTGATTAGTTGTTATATATTGTAATATAAATTAGGGGTCTAGAATTAAACCGATAATAATCTACATTAAATTCTTATTCTAAAAAATATTATTCATGTAAGTACATCTTCAAATCAATTAAATATATTATTACATATTTGTTTTTAAATGTATACTGAATTTTGTTCCAAAACTACAGATAACAAATTTGACTCTTTTGTTTAAAAAATAAAAAAAAAATTAGCAAACTTTTCTTCGGTACTCTTTTTTTTTTTGTGATGGGAGGAGCAAATTTCTTCGGCCTTTAAACCCTGAGTTGTATACAATTTCTTTGCCACTCAAATAAATCAGTTTAGCGGTTTAGGAGATAGAAATTAAAATATGATACGCATATTTTGTTTTATAGAAATTGCAAAAATTTTGACGTCCAATGAAGTATACTTCGACGATGATAATTATAAATATGATTTGAAATCTACTGGACCTACAGGTATATAATTTGTTACAATGAACAACAAATATTAATTGTGCTATTTTTTTAATTAATTTTCTTACAGATACGACTGATGAACCGATCAATGCTGTCAACGACAAAACAACTAGCGACCTCTCCTCCGGTTACGTACTCAGTCATAACATTTTTCTTTTTCCTGCGTTACTTGTTCTTTCAGCATTGTGGATAAATTAAATTTAATTTGATAATGTTTTTGTATACAATATACCATCCCCCTTTCCGGGGATGGACTGACGTCTGACGACCCGTCCCAGTTAGCGAATCATCCCATGATGGCAGCGATAAGCCTTCATGAGCTGTTTAGCTATTTTAATTTATTTAATTATTATTTGATTATATAGAAATATTAAATATAATGAACAATAATTGTACTTTTTTAAATATGTAATACAAGAACTAATTGTAAAGAATATCGACTAATACTATGATTACTAGATATCTATGCATAAAGATATGCATGATTAACTTGTTGAATAAAAATTAGTTTAATTTATATTCGTATCTTCTTAGTGACAATAATTCTATAAGAACATATACTAAATCCTTAAGCATCTAAGTGTGAAAATACTTTAAACGGTCTAGTTAAGTATTCAAATACATTTTTAGTACCTACTCACAACACATACAAAACTAAAAGTATTTTAAATAACTGAATTAAATACTATTTGTCTTGAAATTCTATTGTACTCGAATATTTATGAGTGTGAGTACAAAAAATTCTAATCTATAATAATTGTTTTTTAATTTATAACTATTTTAATATTATCACAAATGTATTATTCTTATAGCAATATAACATGGAGAGTACCAATTAAATTAAGTAATAATGAGTTGGCAAGTTTGGCCAGGTCATTTGACTCATTATGTTCATAAAATTGCATAATGTTTTTTTATTATGTATGGTCAGTGGTCACATAGGCCATAGAATGATTAGAAACAGATAAGGCTAATGTTAATGTTAACGTGCAATAGAAACGTTCAATTATTTTTAGTAGTACATGGAAGCTTGTAGACATATAATTTAAAATATGTCTTACAAAATTACAATTTCATACTTATAAAACAAATATTTATTCAATTGTGTGTGTCCCCAATTAAAAAATAATAATTTGACCCTAACAATTACAACATGGGTAGGTATTGTAATAATATTAATGAAGCAAAAACAATAAAAATCTTCATTGATCATTTTTATTTGAATACATTTTAGATGTTGTATTTACATTACGCATTTAATTATTTTCTTAACACAGTATTTTTATTTTTTTTATATTATCTCTGACAAGATAATAAATAGCTTGAATGACTTGTGTGGAGAAATCATTCATTAGTGGTCGGTACCCATTAGCATAATATTAAAATATTTTTTAAAAGTATATATTTGATGGGTGATTTGGATTGGGCTAAGAAAAAAGTGAGACAGTTTTTATTACAATCGAATGATTTCGAAAAATATCTTGTCCCAATCATTTTCAACGTTCCTCCCCTCCCAAATCAGCAGATCTAGTGTGTAGTGAAGATTAAGTATATGAATATTATAATAGATACAAATTATAAACTTGTTTTTTTATCAAACTTTAAATAAATTTGGACAACAAGTTATTCGGCAGACAGTAACCAAAACTGTTGCTTATATTGATAAACTTAAATTATAAAACTAAAGAAATGGCTTATGTCACAAAGATAGAACTTAGATTTTTATTGTGAACAAATAATTGAGCTCATCTACCTTTTTTCCAGATTATTGTGGAAGTAGGTTTTTATACAACTGTTTCATTTACTTAAAAAATACTAGAAAGTGAATACTACAAATGTTGGTAAATTAAAAAAACGTAATCAGGATTTAAACAGAATTTAAACTGAAATATCAAAAATCGATTCCCACAATATACTAGAAAAGAGGTCGATAAACTGAAATATTTTTAAAGAATTAAAATCGGACCATCCTAAGTAGGCGTAATTTTGTCAGACTTTTAGGTTTAAAACATCCAAAAAACAGACCCCTTTAATCTTAATCATAATAATTAAAAACCCTGATTATTGTATAATTAATTCGAATTCGTATTTAAGATTTATATATTGTATCTTGAAAATGAATGGAATATCTGTATGCTCTTGGGAAATACAAAATGCTCCGCTGAAATAAGAAGGTTGACCATTTGCTTGAATAAAGATTGTTATTTATCTTATATGGCTACACTGATTTATTTCTTATCAGCGCGCCTTATCTATGTTTTTTGAGTAAAATTGATTGTCTAACAGTTTGATAATACACATTTTCTCGGGCGTATCGATTAATGCACAAATTTGGTTAAGTGTATTTTGCCTACTTACCTTTATAAAAGTTTATCCTTTGGTAGTTTATACATGTTTTGATTTTTAATTATACTTATTTATAAAAATAATAATAATGAATATTTGGTTTACTTTTGCTTTGGTTATAGCCGCATTTACGTCGGGTAAGATCATAGTGGACACGCCCAAGTGGATTTATGCATCTAAGTATAAATTATAATTATTATTTATTTTATTAAATATGTTTAGCTAAATGCAGTGAAGGACAATTTTATGTTCTACACTCACCTGAAACTGTGAGGCTAGTCAAAGATGTTTCATTAAGTGTTAGTCAACTACCCGACATTTTCTCTTCCGTATTTGGTTTCACCGTAGCAAACGAAGTAAGTTAACTCATTTTATCTGTTATTAGCCGATTCTTCAAACAAGTGCAGTAAAACCTGTCTAAAACAGTGTAAATGTATAGGACCTAAAAATCTTTTGTATTAAAACAGTTTTCTAGATTTTGTAATAAAATATACTACTTGTATATAGGTAACCATTTGTTAAGACCACATAAAATCAACAATTTCACTAATTATCCAGTCTCTCCGATTTTATCTGCGTAATCCATCGCACCTAGTTCTTTTCTTTTTATTTAAACCTCCTTTTTAACCATCCACCTACGCAGTTCGCTGCCAATCTCTAATCGCCGGCGTTAGTTGGGCTGGTGGCCGTCGCCAATCCGTGATTGTCACTAGGTACATTTTCTAGATTCATTTATAACAGAGATTAACCTTATCAGTTAATTGAAAGGTACCTTGAAGTTCGAGTGAATAAGGTTTCCAAAAATTTGTAACACTAAAACCAAAAAAACTTGTGGTCGAAAAGACCAATGCCACTAATACACTTTCTATTAAAGTTAAATTTGTATATAATATTTCCATCTTTAAGTAAAATCAAATAAGTAGCATCAATTAAAAATAAATGATAATAGGCGTATTAATAAAAAGTGTATTACAGAACAAATGTATTCAATGAGGCAAATGTTAAAAAAAAAATGGTGCAATCAGGATTAAGTGGCCTAACCACAAGTTACATTTATAATTATAAAAATAAATAAATTGTATTTAATAATTCTCGAAATTATTTTTATTTAAAACATATCTTTTTTTTTTTAGAAAGAAGCTTGGGATAAATTACTGGTGTCTGATTTGTTTGAGTGTCCTGAAGCTATTGTAAATATAATAGTTCCTGGTGTTGAAAATGCTGATTTAACAGTTAAAGAAGGGAATCAACATCATTTAAATAATGATGAATCTATTGATGCAACATTTAACACCTTAGAAGCTAGGATCAAGAAGAGGTATCCACAAGACATGACTATTATGCGAGTTATTCTGAACGATGAACCAATCGTATGTTATTATTTTTTTTTTTTATTAGCTCTTACCTATAAATTTAAAATTAATATTAAACAATACTATGATGTATTTTTATAGGTTACAGGTTCGGATATATTCAAACCAATCGAGGAAATAGATGAGTCTTCTAAAATTGTTACCGAGCATCTAAATTTACTTATTGATCAAGACTCGAAATTCTTAGCGGAAATCTACCAGCTAAATGCCTTGTCCGATACGGTTTGTGCAAATACCTGACCTTTAGACTTTTTTTTTAACTATGCTTAAGTATTTACAATTTTTTTAGATTAAAACAAAAGTTTCGCCCAATGGCATACCTGACTTATACTGGATTGTAGCGCCAAACCTTAAAATCATCACTTCCCATTACGGTGCAGAATCATATGAAGCTGGTGAAGCTAAGAAACTTTTATCCGATGCTCTAAACCGTTTAAGCCAATCTTTTAGTGAAGCTTATAGAAATAAAGTACAGTTATTTCAATAATACAATCAAATATTTTTTTATCTGTGAAATGAAACCATCATCTCATGATGACAGTGTTGGCCTGTTAAGCTTGATGATGATGAAGTGTAATTAACAATCTTTTTTTTTCCGTTTCATTTAGGTTTTAGTTACTGCTGTTGTTACTAAATCTACAGAATTGCGTAGGTCAAAACGTCAAACTGATAAGGAAGTGGTAAGAAATAACAATTATAAGAGTATGTTATGCAGCCAATTTTTGTAGCATAAAAACTTGCCCTAGAACAATGAATTTTGCTCACTTTATGGTGGATTTAGAGAAAAAAAAGCCTGTTGTAGAATCAAAGCGAATAAAATACCATCAGTTTTTTAAAAAAATGTCCATAAAAAAAAGTTATTGCTGTTTAAAAGAGTAAAAGAATATACTATTTTAATATTAAATATAAAGGTAATTACTGAATTAATTGGTTTTTATGTTTTAATTTCCTAAAACGATTTTTTGCTATAAGACCATTATCGACCGAATAAAACTAAATCTGCGTAGCTATGTTTTGGTAAAAATATAATTAAAAACATCAATGAAAGCTTTGATGGTCTGATAAAAAAATTAAGTAGTTATGAAGAATCCTTATTGCTTGTAATAATAAATAAATCAATTATAATTAAATTACAATACTATTTGATAAACTGAGTGAGGAAACCAATTCCTCTTTTTAAGTTTACAATGAATTCATATGTTTGGTATTTAACCGTATTGTATTATTTATTACGAAAACAGCTTAGTGATGTCAGAAATCTGTGGGTAACCACAATATCGCATTACATATAAAAGATATCACCTTGACCTGGCAAATAAAAGTCCCCATTAAGTAATGAAATATATAAATTCAAAATGTGTTTTATATTATTTTGTATTTAGGAGCTGAACATTGCTGAACCCGTATCGGATGACTACCCTGTCATTTTCAATCTATTGTTATGGTTTACTGTCGTCTTTGTCTTTTCCCTTTTGGCAATTTCACGTAAGTATCCATAATAAAATATGTACATTTCTTTTAATTATATAATACAGTTTAAACTATTGATGATTTCAAAAATGTACTTGGTTCTATTACAGCAATTACATATTATATAATGTACATATTCTCAATAAATATTAATCAATATTTAATTACATTGTTTTTAAATTGTATATTTTAGTGAGCATTGCTCAAATGGATCCTGGCCGTGATTCAATCATTTACCGTATGACCAGCAATAGAATGAAGAAGGAAAATTAAATGTTGGACACGTGTGTTATTTATACGAAAAAACTTAATTTAAACGTAATTTTGTGTTAAAAAAAATCCATTCCACGTGTATATTTGTTTGTGTTGTATAAACTATCATAGTTTAATTTTATTTAGACCAAAATCATTGCAAATTCGCAATATCATAATTATTTTTGTTTTGTCTTTCCTCCTTAGTGATTTTAGTAATATTCTAAGTAGTTGTAAATATTGAATTTGTTCACGATAATAATAAGAAATTAAAACTTAAATTAGTACTTTGTTAAGTCATCATTCTTTCTAAGAACTTGAAATGTATTAATTATAAATTTAATGGGATATATTTTATGAGGTGTCAAAGAACTTGAATTAGATCAAATGAAACAATTCTTTCGTTTATTAAATCATTTTTTCCTCAGAAAGTTGATCAATCTAATATTATTATTCTTTATGAACTGAAAGGTTAAACTGTGATGTGTAACTATTAGTTCAGTACCTAATTAGAACTGTATTTTGGCAGTTAATTTATTTTTGCGGACTATCACAGTATCCTTGACGATTTTAAAAAATGTTACACCTAAATATAGCTACGCATATTCTCTACTATTGACCAAGTAATTATCGTAGACATTTTATTTTTATTAACCTGACATTCACAATTTATATTTTAATACCGACATTTTTTTACTTTTTTAAGTGGTTGCATTTAAGATGAAAATTAGATTCTCTAAGAAAACCGACGAGAGAACCTAGTTAAAGTTCTCATTTTTTTAACGTTACAAACATTTTTTTTATGACCATTTCTCGCTTTGATTAACACGCTTCTCCATAAACACGTTTTTACGATAATTTTTGAAGGGTATGATGCCCTTTTAATGATGTATTAATACACTTTAGTTTAGCTTTAAATTAAAAAAAAATACTAAAAATGTCTATATTTTACTGCTTGATAAAAAGAAATAAGCAAGCGATAATACCACAGAGTAAAAGAAATGTATTTTATATATTCTGCGATAATACCAATTGCCACTTGCCGGGCAGGTCAGGTTAGGTCAGCTGGTAGCTAATGAGTAATGTTTACCTCCTTTAAAAATCAACCCACTGCAAAAAATAATTACTTGTAGAATTTTACTACTATTTTATACGAACTCTATAATTCTAAACAAACTATACGTATTTTAAATAAAATGTATTAAATATTAAAATGGCACTGAGACTTATATAAAAGCAATCGTTAGCCGAAAGTTAAAAAAGTTTCACTAAAATTAAAACCCTTTTGAATATAATTTTCATGTATAAACATTGAAAGTGATATGTATTGTTAGTATTTAATATTCATTTAAAATATTATATAAATATTATAAATTATTAATTTTTAATAATTATTAAAAAAAATTATACAATAGCATGTTTCAAGAAATTACATTTTTTTTTTGAAAAACTGGAAAATTGTATAATGTGTTTAAAAAAAAATGTTTTTGTATTTAAACCTACGTTAACTTTTTTACTATTAGATAGATTTTATCATCTATAAATTAATAAAACAATAAAAAATATAATAAATTCAAAGCCGTACTTTCGGGAAGTGTGCAAGTACCGAAACATAAGGTTGCCCTTAAAGTATCAAATACATTAAAAATATATATTATTTTTAACATTAAAACGTGGCACGCAATTACTTTCCGAAAATATAATAATTTCTAGTCGTATGCGGTGTAGATATCTGGTTTAAGAGTTAATTCTGGGGTTAATCTAGTAAGTGGGTACTTAAAAAACAATTATAACTATATGTAGGTAGTCGAAATTTGTTTTGTTTTTAATGAAGAAAACCAACAAAATATTACAGTTACACTGAAGTGATGTTAAATAATTTTTACCATCTTCGGATTGGCATTAATGCGCTGCTTTGAGAATGATTTCATCACTCTTGGATGTACTAGCATAGCCACTAGCTTTTTAATTTTCCTTGTTTTTGTATGCTATTATAAACAATTAGCAACGACTTTTATATTTCTTTGATCATATTCATTCAAATGAAAATAACTGACCCAATAGAAGTTGAGCATTTCAATAATTCCGTTGTAATGAAATATAGATAGGTACAATTTACATACCCACGAAAAATAAAACAAAAATAAGGATACGTATAATTTTTAATGTTTTCTGTTTATTTTTATTCAATACAATACAATAATTAATATAATACATAAATTATAGGTTTGAGCACAAAAATAATATTGTTCTTCATTATTTTTGAATTTAACAACTACAGAAAACCCGAAATAAAGTCATTACAATAAAAAATTATATAATGTTACACGTGATCACTATAAAAATAGACAATAATATATTATGTTAATTAAATAAATAAGGCGTAGCAATCAGGAATTTTATGACATTTTTAAGAACTGCTTTAGGTATTTAACAAGACGTAAAGTAACGTAAGTCGTAGTTCGATCACTCGACAAATTTGATTACGATTTTCGAAGACATCTTTGGCTAACACAACTCAATTAAGTGTGTACACTATATATTGGTTTAGACTTATAATTCTCTTAAACACAATAATTGTTCATTCTAATAATAATTATAAAATGGGGTCATTATTTCAGCCGTTATAATTATATTATTCTAAAAGTTAATTATTTATAGTTAAGACTAATATGTTATGTATAATATATAATATTTACAAGGATGAAACAATGTACATGATAATATAAATTGTAAAGAAGATGTATTTCAACGACACGATGCGTAATAATAATATATTACTATACAATAATAAGCCCATATAAATATATGGGCTTAACATGGTATATAGTTTTATAATTTGAATTAATTGCTTTAACATGTTATTGGCGGTTAATGTTTGGTCGTGAAACAAAATAATTCGAGCATTGCCCGTACGTCATTTGATACTGTTTACTACAGTAGCGATGTGCTTAAAATTATTTTAAAAAATATATATAGATAAAAATCCAATAAATAATAATTTAGGTTCGTTTTCTAAGTACAAACATATTGTTTTTTTTTTTTTTTTTTAGAGTAGGGAGGGTAATTGAGTAAACTAGAATCACTCAGTTTAAACGTATGGTCGACATTATAATAAATTATAGGCCAGTGACGTTAAAATATTATCCGAATGGCGTAAGCGACCGCGGTGTAAATAATGTCGAACGGCGGCTAATCGGTAAATAGTAAATACCTAAGTAAACACGACACACTCGTCGTAACGGAGTGGGAGCAGAGTGTGCGCTCCATGGTAAAGGGGAAGGGTCTTAATGATAAACGGAGAGCAAAGGAGGGGCCCTACGAGCTAGCCATTTTGACGAACTCGGCTGCCTCGAAAGCCGCCCCGTGGATGTAAGGGCCTTGTACCGGAGCGCACACCTTGGCGTTGTTCATGGACCTCACCCTCAAGAACAGGAACGTGACGACTAGACAGGCGACGACCAACACGGAAAGGAGCATGGCCAGTCCGGCGACAAAACTCGGCACGCTGATGCAAACGTTGTCGGCGGCCAGTCCGGATCGGGTGGACATGACTACGGTGTCGGCACCGCCGTTGTTACTGCTGTTCGTGACCGGCACGTTCAGGGCAAAGTTGACGTCGCCCGGCGCAACTACTTGAATGATACGGCTGGTGTTAACATCCAGTTCGGGGTTGCCCGTAGAACGACGGCGACGTTGTTTGCTGTCCGAGAACATGTCGACGGAACGCGGTCGGCCTCCCAGGGATATCAAATTGATGTGTTGTTCGTCGTCACCCACAGTACCTTGACGCTTGACAGTGGCGTAAGAGGATCCGTGTCCAGGCAATGGAGGCGGCGGCAAGTTCAAGTCGTCGGTCTGTGGTACCTTCTGGGGCGGCGGGCTAGCGGTGGATGAAGCCGAAGCCGGAAGAACCACTTCGGGTTTCAGTTCGGAGTAAGCGCCGGCCGGTCCGGACGGGTTTCTGGGATCGGGGTAAGCCGGGTAATCCACCTGGGATGGTCCGTATTCGTTGGGGTGCACGGAGTTCTGGCTGTAATCGCCGCCGATGTCGGCGGGGGCGGCAGGCAGGGCGTAATCACCGGGGCATTTCGGTTCTGGACAATGGTGACGGCACACCTGGATGACACACTGGAAATGCACGTTCATCGAGTCGGGGAACTTAAACGCCTGGAAGTACGTGAACGACACGACGGACGCGGACGGGCCGAAGTTCTTAATTTTCTGGAACTTGTACATGATCTTGGGCCTGATGACGCAACCGTTGTGGTCGACCAACTGGATGGGAGTGCGTTTTCCGTCGTGAGCCACACAATTCCTCACCAACATGTCGAACTTGTTTTCCTCGTCTTTGATAGCCAACACCATGGTCATGGTCTGTCCGATTTTCACGATTCCCGACACCTCCGACGCCCACGGGCCCTTGCCCACTTGTATCTGCATCCAACACTGCAGATTGTCACCCAAAAAGTTGGCCGTGACCGCGTGCAACATGTCCACTTGGAACGGTTGGAACGTCACAGCCTTCTCGTAAAAATCGTACCACGTGCACCGCAATTTGCGTGCCTGGTCCCAAACTTCTTGCACGTACGGGTCGTATTGGATGATGATGGTGTTCTCGACGTAACTGCCGCTGGGCGTACCTCCATAACCGGCTACGGCTCCGTTGCCGCCGGAAGACGTCATACCGCAACTGTTCAAAAGAATTTCGAACGTGGCACTCAGATGGCCGGTTCCGGGTTTCACGTGTACGCAATGAGGATCGCTATAGAAACCTGTAAAGACAATTTTTAACAAAATTAATAACGCCCGACTTAATTATTCTAGTTCATATTTTGTCTCCTCCAGTACAGTAGTAAAAATGTTAACAACGACACGCCGAAAAGGTAAGAACATCAGTAGCTGATCCTATCTCGAGGCTTGAGCAAAACTGGAACGTCTGCCTACTGTTCTTTGTTAAAATACAAAAATACATACGGCGGACAATTGTGTGTGTGAGATCGGAAATTTCTTCATAGTTTTCTCGTTGTCAAAATCTTAATCTGCCACGCCGGTAAGAATTCTCTCTCCGTTCTCATGTCGTTATTTCATACGTCAACTCGACCGATCCGGTTAAGTATAACATACAAAGTAATTATGACTTACAAGCGGTAGCCATCAATTAGGGAATATCATAAAAGACGCAAACAACAGCAGCACACACGTGAGAGCGGCTCGAAGAAGCGCTTCATAAATATTAATTAAAACGCACACACGGGCGTTTAGTGGGTCAGTGCCTAGATAGTATTGTATACCTACACATAGGGGCTCCGCAGTCCGCATACATACAGGTCATGTGACGTATGCTTGGTAGGTAGCAGTGCAACAAAAAAAAAAAAAAAACTCATAACATTATGTTTGTTTTGTACGTCTATTTATTTCATTATTGTTTTTAACCACATTTCATTAGACGGGTATTATTATCATAGGTGTACACCGGAATATGCCGCGCCCGCGCGCAATAATAATAATACTCCTGACCCCACCCACTCATTCGTCATGGAGAAAACGGTCTCATCCCGTTAAATTGCCACGATAATGACCAAGCGCCCTTCTCACACGCCTCGGTAATGGATGCAAAAACATTTTCTCATGCATGACCGTTAAAAATGCCGTGTCTTTGCTATAAGCGTGAAATTCGTAAGCCCAGACCATTCCGTAGAGTCTATACTACACGGCGCTGCGCAGCGGTCGCCGATCTGTACACGGTAAATCCGCATGGCATGGCGATAGAAATAATAGGATATCAGGTAGACTAATAGTAAACTGAATACTTGAGAATAGATGTCATTTTGCTACTCGAGAAATAACTAATTAAATCGCACGGTAGTCAATAGCACGTCATTCCATTATCTATAATGTATACATGGTATTTTTTTTATTTAGCTACTAGGAAAACTGTGTAATTTTTTTTTTTAATTTAAACTTTGTGGTCACAATTAGTCTCAACTTTCAGATAATTAAAAACATCATATTCGTTGGGTCGGTCGTCCTAATCACTGTACCTACTCTTCAACACTAGTGATGGCCTCACACTGTGATCGCTTCATATAGTTCTGTGCGACTGTCGATCACGTTTCTCGCCGTCCTCTGATAAACTTATTATATTTTATTATCCTTACTCTACGTACTCGGGTTACCCGGCGAGAAAACGATTTGCTTGTTTACCTTTTGAGAATATAACACCGTAGAACGGTCGGTCGAATTCGATGTTGACTCGCATGTGCGTCTTCTCGCACTGCACTTGCAAGTGTTTGATTTTGGCGGCGTCCGGAGTGGTCTGCAACGGCCATGCCTCGTCGTGGGGCCCTTGCAGAGGACCCGAAGGCAGAGACAGACCCACGTCGTATCCGCCACCGGATCTGTGCTCCAACGGCAAAGCGGCGGCGTTGTTTTCTGCTCCGGCTAGCCCATCTCCGCTAGTACTCTGCAAACAACACACACGTGATGGTTAAGCGCCAACAAAACCCATTTGTAGCCTTAAAATATGATATTTATATAGTACGTCCCTACCCTCCCCCGTTTACTGTGAAACACGAGAGCGTTAGCGAAGCATTGAGCGTAGCGTACCCAAATAATTATCGACAACGGCAAAACTCGATAAAAAAATATACAACACGTTATTTATAATAATGTATATTATATCTCATATAATACCTATTAAGAGGTGTCGCAGAATATCCGGTGGTACATTGCGGTACAGACGCGGATGCACGGTCTCCCGTAGCAATGGTAATTATATTATTTCGTCTTACGCCCGGGCATTCCTAATATCCGGTCGGTGAGATAAAAGTAAAACCCATTATCGTTAATTAATCAAATATTCGACGACACTATCTGTGTACGATTTAGTCACGGCTAAACAAACAACTGTGATCGCCTTCGCCCATACCGGCTATAATATTCGTTGGCAATGTGTCATTCGTCTTAACCAGACCGGTCTGGCAGTATTGACAATAACTGCAGCGGCCGTCGATCAAGGCCCGAGTACGTTTAAATGCCGGTACGTTTAATTGAGAACAAACGGTTTCGAAATGGTTTTGTCGTTGACCTATATATATATATATATATATAGTTTGATATTAATTTTGCAGCCGTGCTAGTCGTGTTGATCATCAACTGCGTGGAAAATATATTTCGTGAACTGTTGGCATTTTCGGAGTACACGTGTCCGGTAATAATGTCGGTGCACGCTAAAGGAGTATATTTTATTTACTTTACGAATTACTCACGTGCAAAAACAGCAAAGCCCCGTAAAAGACGATGTACACTTGGTGCCTCAGGTATCTCTTCATAGCGCGTCCGGTGTGATCTGTAAAACCAAATATATACATTTACATTGATTATTAGTACAGCACAATTGGAAACAAAAAACAGAAAACGTTCATAGGTATTCCGGCGACCGGATCTCGACGGTCGACGGTTTTTGGGGTGAAGGCCGTCACGAAATCCGGAATCGGAGGTGGTTCGCCGTTTGAACAATTACTATTTTTAAATTGATATGTATTTGGAACGCGCGGCCGCTGGAGGCGCTATGGTCGCGACGGGAAAGTAAACCGCTTTCACTATCTTCTGCCCGTGTACTTGTACATTTTTATGTACACACACAAACACACACTCCGACGTACGGCTATTTACCGTCTCGGCCATTTCAATTGCACTTTCAAATATTTCAACTGGATCGCGCCAATTAGAGACAGAATTACACGCTCGTGTACCGACCGAGCGAATTCCCGCGAGTATAAGCGACCGCTGTGGGTAGTAGGTTAAGATGAACGCCGATCGTCGTTCGACGGCAAAGAAACGGTTGGGTCGCGTGGGAATAAAAAAAAAAAAAAATAACAATAATAACGGCAAAAGCGAGTCGAATTCGCAAAAACGTCGGATTAATAAAAAGGGATGAACCAGCATAAAATTGGTAGGTATTGTACGTAAGGAGATTAGTGAATTTTAATACAAATTCCCAGTGGAAAGCGTCCTTGGCCAGAGTAAAAATTTAGACTTCTGCCGTCGATTCCCACAGTCTGCAGACGACATGACGGCAGTGCGTGGAGCTCAAGAGCCTGAACGAATACTGTTCGACAAGAGATTGACACAAGATGCAATCTGATGAATCATCGGAACAATTACATTTGCGTGATACGAGAATAATGTAATAAATACTACTGAATAATTCTATGGGATATTAGCATTGTGGAATCTCTTCCCCGCCCCCCGCCCCCAAATATATTCCACGAGTGGCTATGTGGAGTGAAATGTCGGAAATGAAGAATGTGATAAACATTGTTAGGACACCCCAATTCACTAATATAATAATAATAATAATAAGCGCAAAATACGCCCGACTATAATAAATTCCGTTTAATATATTCAGCATTACCATGTATTTCATTAAGTTAAGGTGTTGATTATTAACACCACTAACAATTCATGGTTAATGACCAAATTATAATGTATTGTATGTAACTTTATATAAATACACGCAAATAAATTATTCAACAAAATTGAGTTGCAAGTTGAATTCCTAAACAGGTATCTATAAAATTAAAAAAACATTGAACGTAGATAATTTAGAACTTGTTTTCAACATAATATGTATAACCGAATGATATTATAATTTATAAAATATTTTAACTGCTTATTTCGATCGTAATAAAATAGTTTTTAAAAAAAATTATTACCCTTTTTAATTTAATTTTGACCTATACATGTAATCATTCAATGTTTATTACTCATTTCTATAAAATACATTAAAACAACCACATAAAAATATGCTATACAAATAATAATAATAAACATGTTAGAAAGTATATTTTATTTGAATAATACATTTTAATGTACTCGTTTTTAATTTTGACATTGACATTGAATTATTATTTATTAGAATAAAACAAAAATAGTTGTACAATATACTACAAAATAATACGGAAATAATTAAATTTATTTTTGTCTGAATTTCCAAGTGCACAAAAATGTTAACACTGAACCCACTTGCCATGAACCACAGAGATATTCTATTTTACTTCTCAAAACTGATGAACGTATTTACTGTACCACCTATTTTCGTTTATTTGGAATTGTTCTAAATCCTAAATCGTGACCAGAACGCAAGTCGGTGCCCGAGGGTCTCTCGTGGTGCCCGCACATACCTTGTTAATACGACCAAAAATAATTGTTTTTGAATTACACCGTTACACCGCGGAAAGGAAGGAAGTCATTTACAGGAGGCGCGACTAAAAGGAGGCTAATCCTATTTTAAGTATCTAAAGCTCCGCTTACTAAATTTGTATTATGTTTTTTTTCCGTCGAAGTCTTGTTGGTATTTTACAAAATTATTGAAGAAGGCATCATTTTCGGCGGTGGGCTTACAAACCCCCTCAAGTCTTAAGGGCAAAAGTGCCAATGGTCATAGACTGTAGCCACGGTGGCGGCTTCAATATGTGGACGAAGCTGTACGGATATATTGCGAGGGCAACGTCATAACAATGCTTAACAAACGACGACGGAGAGAAAACGTCGGAAATAATAAATAGAAAGATACTAATACCCAACCGATATTTCGATTAGAACCGGTTTAAATCGGATATAAACGCACACACACACACACACACGCGTTTAAAAATGTATCGAATTACTTTCAATGTTCGTGTAAAAAGGACCTGTTCTCCAAGATCAAGATCAATGAACCACGTACTCGCCTAAGTAGGCCAGTAGGATGTAAATATTTATACACTGCAGTCTGCGGCGCCGCACCCTCCAAGGTCGGAATTCGATATTTCAATCCCTCACACGACGAAGCACCGCCTTATTGAAAAGCTCTATAATTAAGTACCCAAAATTTGTCAGGCAACGTTGTGAACAGAAAACAAAATTACAAAGTATACACTCGAATCGATCAACGAACAACAATGGAACATAGTATAGTGTATTTGACCGGTACGACTCCAAAATACTACAGTCTACTAACTGTATAATTAATCATATTTATATGGCATGTTATCTGATTTACGAGCAATGAAAACCGGCGATACAAATCTACCGAAAGAGTTTGTGACCAGCCAAATGAAATAGAATAGTTTGCAAAAACACAAAGCGATTAGCGCTAAGATCCGACCATTGTTCGCCTTATTTGTTATAATGTCATGTCAAACAGAAACAAAGACCGTCAACTAATTATTATTTTTTTACTGCGACATATTTTTACTTTAAAAGTAGAACGAAAAATGTGTATGAACCAAATTAAAAGACCTATTTGTTTCTCATCAACTTAGTAACTAAATCATTTTTTGCGAAACTATTTTGTAAAAAAACTACTAAAAATTATAGCTGTTTTTTTTATTTATTTGTTTTGTCACCTTTGGGCTTTGACTAACCCTAAATCATTGTTAGGTATTTTAAACGCCGGAATTACACTTCTATACATAGAAGTATAACTATCTCTCTAGTAATACTTTTCGAACAAAGCTTTTTAAAAATTATTATTTTCCCAGCGCTATATTTTACGAATTTCCAACATTTGTTCAATAATTAACTCGTAGCCAGTTCCCAGTATATCATGCTAGTAACCTAACTACATATTACAAATTTTTAATCTTAAAATTTCTGATTCAATAGTACCCGACACTTTATAAACTAACAATTACAAAAAAATTATACATAATATACATGTATACGTTTTTGGAGAATGCGAGAATAAAAATCACAATTTCATTCATTCATAGGGTTTTCGCGAAACTGTGTGATCGATTCAATCATATTCATTTACGGTATACCATTAGTGATTAGGAGGTATATGAGCATATCATGTGTATCTAGTCTTATTAATATGTTTTTTTTTTTTTTTACAGATAAATCCGGGGTAACGGTAAGTTACGATAAATAACTAACGAATACGAATAATACCACCTTCGCTAGGTTAGGTTGAGTATAGAAATTTATCCTTGGGAAAGATCAAAAATATGTATACATATCTCTTGTTTAGCCGTGCGGTGTAACGTTATCCACCCGGCTCGATTTCGACCACCCGATGACCGGTCGTAGGTAGTATCACCTCGGAGCGGTTTTTGGTGTCGATCGGCTTCGTCAGTGGCTGTTTTCCCAACGACATTGCCATCTAATACACGAACACGCTGTACACATACACATCAGCGCTTTCACAAGAGTGCCAACATACACTCACACGCGCTTGGTATTCGGCAAAACGCAAACGGATGAGATTAATAATAATACCCGCCGACGATTGGTGCCGCTAATTGCGCAAAAGAGATGCGCGCGTCCGTGTTTACTTTCTAATCCCCGGCCGGCAAGTACGGACGTGACCGGCACACATACGGGTTGTGTTAAGTTCGGTTAAACGCCATTCGTTGGTTATTTTCAATTATAAGCGCCCCGTTGTGTATTCGCCCCCATCAGCCGACACCGGGAAAATACCAGACGAGGATAGAGCGGTCAGCACACCATATTTTATACAGGCGTGTTTAATAATTGTGCCACACTTGGTTCATTGCCGGATATAATCCCCCGTAATGTTTTATCCCTTAGTTTTACCGCCCGTTCCTTGGCCGGCCTTAAATCTGCTCAGTGAGACGATACATAGGTAGTTTTCGTATCCACTTATTATTTTTCGCCAAACGCCACAATAAACCTTTAGGACGGGCGGCTTTGGCCTTAAAACAACATAAATGGAGACTGTAGAGGATGCAATAGATTTCGCGGAATGCAAAAATTGTGTAGTATAGAAATGTTTTATGTGCGACTGAGTGAATGTGTATAAAACATGTTGTACTTGAGAGACATTCGTGTGGCATGCTGTTAAAACGTTTTTCGCTCGCTCACTTTCCAATCGTTGGGCACAGAAATAAAATAATATTATGACCGAGTACAGGGGAACGCGCGTGCTGTGAGTCGGTAATCGCGTTTTCGACATATTATTTTATTATAATAAATCCGGACGACGGCCGCAAGACGGGGGAAACACCGACGGGAAGTGGCGGTGGTTCGCCGGTTTCATAACGACTTTATTATTATTATTTGCATATAAGCGTGAAAAAATACCGGCCACTTTCTCTTTCGTTATTTTTCTTTTCAAAATTAATTTAGCGACGATAATTGTAACAACAATAAACAACTATACGACACATATTATGCACAATGAGCGTCATTCGTAGACCCAGAACAATGGAAGGACGTCCGCCGACATTTCTGCCGTTCGAGACGAACGTGATGTGTTCGTTTGAACAATTCGCGTTGTCAATTATGTTTCTTTTTACGTTTTTTTTTTTGAAGGCCCGCCATGAGGTTAGATCGGTTTTT